TTCTTCAATTTTTTTCACCAATGTTTTATAATTTTAGGTGTACAAGTCTTTCACTTCCTAGGTTAGATTTGTTCCAAAGTATTTAATTATTTGTAAATAGAATTGCTTTCTTAATTTCCTCTGGGGACTGTTCATTGTTGGTGTACAGAGACATAATTAATTTTTGTTTGTTGATCTTTTACCCTATAATTTTACTGAATTCATTTATTAGTTCTAGTAGCTTTCTTATAGAGTCTTAGAAATTTTCTATGCATAGGATTGTGTCATCTGTGAAGAAAAATAGTTTTCTCTTTTCCTTCCCTTCTGCATGCCTTTTAAATATTTTTATCTTGTTTAATATCTTTAGTTAGATATTAAAGATATCTAACTTTAGTTAGATATTAAAGATATCTAGTTAGGTATCTTCACTATCTATACACGATTTAGTCATGTAAGCAGTCAGTTCCAGTATAATGTATAATGATGAATATCAGCAGTAAAAGTGGGCATATTGGTTCATACTTTATCTTAGAGGGTAAACTTTCAGTCTTTCACTATTGAGTATGATGGTAGCTAGGGGTTTCCATAAATATCCTTTATCAGGTTGAGGAATTTTCCCTCTATGCCTAGTTTTCTCAGAGTTTCTACCATGAAAGGGTGTTGGATTTTGTCAAATGCCTTTTCTGCATTGAGATGATCATACAGCTTTTGTCCTTTCATTCTATTAATATGATTTATTACACTGATTCATTTCCTTATGTTGAATCACCGTGGCATTCCTGAGATAAATCCCACCTGGTCATGATGAATAATTTTTAATATGCTATATGATTTGATTTGCTAATATTTTGTTGAGTAATTTTATATCTAATTCATAAGGGATATTGGTCTGTAATTTTTTTGTGTGTGATGTCTTTATCTGCCTTTGGTATCAAGGTAATTCCGGAGGCCTCATGAAATGAGGTAGAGAGTGTTCCCTCTTCAATTTTCTGAAAGAATTTAAGAAGGGTTGGTGTCATTTCTTTAAGTGTTTGGTAGAATTTATAGATGAAGCCACCTGGTCCAGGACTGCTCTTTCTTGGGAAGTTTTGTTTACTAATTTAAACTCTTTAATTGTTATAGGTCAGTTGAGGTTTTCTATTTCATTTTGAGTCAGTTTAGGGAGTTTGTGAGTTATAAGGAATTTTCCCATGTCTTCTAGGTTATCTAAATTACTGGCATATAATTATTCTTAATGTTTTCTTATAATTCTTTTTATCTTTGAAAGTTCAGTAGTAGTGTTCCCATTTTCATTTGATTTCTTTCTCTTTCTCTCTGCCAGTCTAGCTAAAGGTCTGCCTGTTTTCTTAGTCTTTTCAAAGAACCAAGTTTTGGTTTTATTGATTTTTTCTATTGTTTTCTATTTTCTTATTTGTTTATCTCTGCTCTAATCTTTATTATTTCCTT